GAAAGTATGGTTTAACAAGAACAATCAACAGAAGTCTCAAGCATCTTGCTTTTAAAATGGAACTAAATTAGGGTCCCAACCTCAGCAAAGTCAACATTTTAAATGACTTATCGCCCCATTCAGAGACCAACTTCTCCCTGCATCAGCTCTCTCCACCATACTGTTGTTTTATACAGCCACTCCTTCTTTAGTGACCATTCTCAAATATGGTAATAATAAACCTAACCCCCAAAAAATCATTTTCCGATCAACGCGCACACTTACAACCAAATTTTTGTGCCTGACAGCAATACACACCAGAGTGAGAATAGCACTGGCGTTGCTGCATAAGAGAACTTTATCTAAATGAGGTGATCAACCAGCGATTTTTGCAGTCTCTCTCAATCTCAGTCACATAGTTCGCTTAGCGATTTCACTTCCGAATTAGGGAATGAATTGCAGTTGCTAACAAGGAGAGGGTGTACAACTCTAGAGATCATGGGGGTGGTGATCAACCAGCGATTTTTGCAGTCTCTCTCAATCTCAGTCACATAGTTCGCTTAGCGATTTCACTTCCGAATTAGGGAATGAATTGCAGTTGCTAACAAGGAGAGGGTGTACAACTCTAGAGATCATGGGGGTGGGGAAAATCTCTAAAATCCATATTATATAAGAACATGGCATTCAAATTATTTTGTGCTCATATTTTAATCCATCAGACATCAAATTACCTATCCAAACATACTAGTTTTGGAATGAGGAACTAACATACAAAGCATTTCCACATATACCCCATACATACATACATACATACATACATACATACATACGTATCTGGGTGGATATATGTCCTATGAAGAATTGATACAATACATACGTATCTGGGTGGATATATGTCCTATGAAGAATTGATACAACAGTTAATATCTGTCCTCACTTGAGAATGAGACAGTTATAGAGATTTGTGGAATACAATATCAACAGAATAATTAAATGAGAAATAAATTACAAAAAGTTATATTTTATAATAGGTTTAGAGCATGTTCAACAAAGACAGGAAAACTGGTTCAAATTCTTTGGGAGTAACTGAAAACAGTGCTGAAAACAATGATAGGAAAAATAAGGTTTTGGCTATCAACATATCTGCTGGTAAAATAGAAGATATCATGTACTTTAGGAGAATTTCTTAGCAATTAAAAATATATCCAAACTCCTAACAATTAGAGGAAGGAAGCAGGGTTATTTTCAACCTTCTTTACAGCAATGGAAACATGATCCAGCCCTTGGCTCTTTTTGCTAGCTACTAGCACTGAGGAAGGATGGAAAAAAGTCTTTGGAGCTGTGTGTCTGGCCTAGATTTAAAACCCTGGAGAAGATCTCAGAATCATCCTATACAACACAGCATACAACAACAGCATGGAGGAAAATATCTGTATTTTCACCCATCACCTATTTCCCTCTATTCCACGCTCTCATTAGGACTTGGTAACTCCAGGAGGTGGAGTTAGGGTCTGGGAGAAGAGGTGAGAGAGCTTCAACCTTTTATCCCAGGGCTGAACTGTGCCACTACATACATACATACATACGTACATGCATACGTTTATTGATTGATTGATTGATTGATTGATTGATTGATTATATTTATGTGCCACCCATCTCACAGAAACGTGACTCTCAG